AAAAAAAAAAAAAAAGTCGAAGCAAATCCATATAGTTGGATTTGGAAAAAGGAGAAGGATAGGATAGGTGAAAATTTATTTACAAATAAATGGCAACTTTGGTCAAAGTATTCTCATTAAATTTCACACGTGAACCTGCATGACAGTGAGCACATTTGTGTTGAGTAGACAAGCAAACTATATATTTAGGAAATATTTTAGGAAAACCAAATCTCTCATGCAAATGTTATTTGCATTATTCAAAACAATTATGTTAATTTGGCATGCTTAAACAAAGAAACATCTCTTATTTAATATATAAGAAAGAATAGAAGCAGACCTTACCTGGACACTGAATAAAAGACCACTCATAATTCTTCTCTTTTGGACAAAGACTAGCATCAAGCACCATTTCATTAGAGTTCACAGCAACAGGCTTCATTGGACCTCTTGATGATCCTTCCAAGCATTGCCCTTTTCCAGTGTTACTCGGGTCGTTACACCATCCACACCCAGGCTGTTCCAAACACTGTCCGCAGGTCCTCAGTCCAGAGCAGTTTTGAGCTTTATTACATGGAATACAACATTAGTGTAGGAATTATTTTGGTTTGGGTTTTAGTTTGGTTTTTGGGTTGTTTGGGGGCTTTGGGTGGGGTTTTTTTTGTTTTGTTATGGGTTTTTTTTAATAATGTGCTAGGATTTTACACCAGTTGATGAAGAAACAATTTTGCATTTCCATTTCCTTGTGCAGATTAAAAAATTTCAGTAACGTTAGTAAGAATATCTCCATTTTCTTTAAAAGTTGTACTTCTTCAGAGATCACAAAATACACAGCAGATGTTTGTTACACCAGAAAGCAACAACGAAGATCTCAAATAAACAAAGATAATGAGGCAGAACAATAATATTACACATCTTCATTAAATCCCATGATAAAATACATATTCTGTGCTTATTATTAATATATGTTATGGGATGTGTATATTACAAATTTTACTGACATAAACAGTCCTTTGAACAAGAACTCTACAATTCAGATCAATAATCGAAATACGAGTGATGATAATAATCTGAAAATTGTAATAATACAAATTCAAACAAAAAATCTGAGTAAAAAGTATCCCAGGATCACACCTGAGTGTTCATCTATAAACACACCCAGTCTTCTTATACAGAACTTTTGAAATAAGTTAGCATACTACAAATCTTTCCCAAAAAACCCCTACAAGTCATAATTCAATCCCATTTAATTGACTCTTAAATCTCGTCTATTAGATCAATGTAGGTTCATTTTTTTAATTTTCATACTAAAATAAAATCTCCTTCTAGGTCTTCTATACTCTTTATTTAAAATGCTCTTCCTCGTATTTTAAGAAATCTGTTTAGAAACAAACTACACCTTATTTTTTTAAATTAATGCTTTAATGCTGAAGCAAATCAACATCAGAATCATTTGAACATTGATCACTATGAGTCCCTGTCTCTTCTGACATTAATTTTGTGGACACCTAAAAAATAAATTTTAAAAGCGTACATGAGTTCCAGGAAGATCCTATCAGGAAGCCAGAAAGAGTCTATGTTTCTTTTTAAAAGAAAATATTTTAAACGTTTGTGGGAGTTTTCTGGAGGACACTCAAATGGCTTCTACATGAGCGTAACCACTCAGTTTGGCTATATGCAACTAATGTTCACAGCTACCTGGACCACTCTACTCCATAAAGACATTACTTGAATCTACGCTATAAAGGCCATACTAAGCAGAACAATTTTCTAATTAAATAAACTGACAGCAAAATAAAGCTAGCTACTCTGACCTCAGCAACTATTGACATTGTTTAAAAGTAATGAAAGTAGTAGGGGAAAAAACCATTCCAGTAGTCTAAAGACAAATGCAGATATCAAGAAAACAGGCAGTTAAGAATCTGAATGAGATCTCAAAACAACATCAACGGTGCAGAAAGCTGTAGCCTGAGCTCTTGTATCCTTAGACTTGGAAGAATCCAAACAGGAGGAAATGGCCTCAGGTTGTACCAAGAGAAGTTTAGATTGGATATTAGGATAAATTTCTTTACTAAAAGGGTTCTCAGGCATTGGAAGGGATTGCCCAGGGCAGTGGTGGAGTCCCCATCCCTGGAGGGATTGAAGAGTCAGGGTAGACATAGTGCTGAGGGACATGGGTTAGTCAGGGACTTGTCAGTGTGAGGTTAAAGACTGGACTTGAAGATCTTAAAGGTCTTTTCCAGTCTAGGCAATTCTGTGTGATTCCTTGATTCTGTGAAATGTTTCAAGTTTCCCAAATATAGAAAAAGGGGCGGAGATTTAAAAGAGGAGCTCAACTATTCTTGGAAATCAATATCAATGCTGTCACACAAATTAGTTTCACACCAGATCTCACCAGATCTGAAGCTGAATTATACAAATATTGTTTTTTTAATACATTAGAATATCATCAGAAAAAAGAAAACCACCATTCTCTACTGGCCAGCTTGCCCTTTCAGAGATGCACTGTAGATGATCCAAACAATTCTCATGCTGCTGTTTATAAAGTTAGGAGAAAACAGCTGTGAAGTATCAGCTGCACTATCTTCATGGAAGATAAAAAAGAACCAAAAGTGAAAATCCTCAGATATTCTCTGCAGTGGCATTCAGCTGCAAAACTGAAGAGACCTAACTGAGAAGTTATTGTTTATGAAAGAAGGGGATATCCAAGTAGAATTTTTTTTTCCTTTTTAAATTCTAGACATGGTACAAGATTGTTCAACTGTCAGCTATTCAGTCAAAAGTCATAACAGATGGAAGATGTGAGGAAGAGTAGAATGCAACTTTTTGGCAAGCAGATATTAAAATGACAAAATGTCACCAATAAAACAGTGTTCATTTTAATTCCAAGTTGTGAAAATAAATGTGAAGTTCTCAGTTATTTTTTTTTTTTTTTTATAAATCATACATGCTTGTATGAAGTTTTTGGGTTTGTTTTTTTTTTCCATTCAGAACAGAACATCCAAACACTCAGAAATCAATCATTCAGAATAAAAAAAAAAAAGAGAGGATTTTTTTTTTTAAAGGTATAGTTACATTCCATTCTTCAAGTAAGTAGAAACACTACCCCCTTGATAAGGGAAACCACTTAATACTTCATTACCTCAGCAGCAATAATCTTCAAGTAATTTAGACTGGAAAAAAAATATCTGAACCATGGTTTTGGACATTCACAGAATCTTGTTTTTCTATAATCAGTTGAATAGAAAATACATTTTCACACAAAACTACCTTTACATAATGATGAATTGGTATATAGCAAATCCATTTGCCTTATTTAATACAAAATTTGTCAATTTTGTCAGACAAATTTAATTTTAAATTTTTTTAAAATTTAAAATTCCCCAAATAAAGTGAACCTGCGTGATGTACAAATACTACACAAACACAAAAACAGAATTAAAAGTTCTGGCTGAAATAATTCATGTGACATTCTGTCTATTTTATCTCCAAATTTTCAATCTACTACTCTTCTGCCACAACTCACTATCAATATCTTATAAGCTGCAAAATCAATTAGTTATAGGAGTGAAAAATAGATCAGAGAACTGTTATGAGAGAGAAACCTTTACATAATTAAAGTTATATGATTCCAAATATATGGGACAAGAGATTAAGTGTTCCTATTATTTCTTTGTTCTTAGACCAAATGGGGCCTGATGGGTTTAGAGACCATAAGGACCCAAGGAACCTGTAAACCTTACTTCTAGTCCACACTGAACCTGAACACTAGAACCTAGATTAATATCTGAAACTTACCAAGCATAAAAATTTAACAGAACAGGTCAACATTGTACGGCTTCATTATATTTTATGATTACGAAAGCTGATGAAGAAGGAATCTCTATTAGCGTTAGGAATACAGGCTCTGCAGGTTCCACTAGCCTTGGCCAGTTTTACTGGAAAGAAACATTTTCCAATGCCTTATTTTCCTTTAACCCAGATACAGACAGTGGCCTGGTATGTATAGCCATTCTTCTCTCTAAGATTAGAATATATGAATGGTTCCATATGGCAAGACCTTATTTTACTTAATATTTTCCCAAGGTTTAAGTGAAAGCAAGTAACTACCTTTTGTATTTGCATCCATAATCTATTAAATGTAATAATGATTTAATTATGACCCTAAAGCAAGTTGTTTCTTGTTGGTCATCATCAGTCCTGCCACAACATATCCAGAAATAAAATGTTCTAGAGATGCTTATATCGAAAGACCCTTATGGAGAGGGTAAGGAAGTTGCAAGTTAACTAGAAAAAAATCACAGAGAAGAGCAATGATGAGAGTTCAACAGTACACTTGAGAAGTTCTATATAGTAAGTTTGTGTCTCATTGGATTGGAGTCCTTTACAGGTAGGCAATATTTTAATCAAATCTTGAAGGAGAGTAAAAATACTGAGAACGAGTCTTCTGCAGGATGGCAACCGCGGAATTTTTCTAAATAAACCATAACTCAGACAAAAATCTAAGGCACCACGCAGCTTGCTCCAGCATCTGTGTGAATTATGGCACCGATATACACTGGAACTGCATTGTGCTGAGCTTACAAGGTCCAGTCACTACAGATTGGAGAAGTAGCAGCTTTAGCTGCATGGTATATTGAAAGGTACATTGAGTAGGTTTCTTATTCTCCTAGAGAGGGACTGTATCAACTTCTGATGAAATGTACTTCCAAAGGGGACACATGGGGAGTACTTTCTCTGTTTGACAAAGGACTTACTTGCCTTGTTTTTTACTTTGCACACTAGTAAAACTTACTTCTTTGAATCTACTGACAAAACACATCAGAATCTTAAAACCTCTTAATTCAGTTAATCTCTTTTTGTTTTTTAATAACTAGTTGTGTTATAAGTCTAAGGTCTGCATATTATTTCTCTAAATTTAACAGTTTTTCTTTCCAACTCATGGCTATTATTTAACACACTAATGCTGGTCACATAAATAACCATGGTATTTTTATTTATCTGAAAATAATAAAAGCATTTCACTATCTGTTTTAACAGACTAAATATGTTTCATCTTAAAAATTACCAATATTTTATCTGTATCTAGAAAATACAATCACAGTAATGACTGTCTGCATTAGTAGCTAAGGTGATTCACCCAAAATTATTTTTATCGTCAGTGAATTTGCTGAATCCTATTCATATAGATACTCTTATTGGAAAAAAAAAAATGCAATGGCATATTTAATAGGATGAACATTCATTAAGATACTCACGGGAGCATGTGGCAGTTTGCCATTCTAGACACTGTCCATATGGGAAGGAGATTATGTAGGCGTTTGAGTCAACGCATCGTTTTGTACTGCTACACCACATACATTCCATGCCATTACTTGTGCAGTTAGAACATGTTGTTCGCAGGGAGCATGGCTTTTTGCAGGGTCTGGCATTCTGGTTGGGACTAACTGGAAAAGAACCACAAACATTTATAATTTTAAACACAAGTGCAATCTCCTTTTTACCTTTTTTTTTTCCATTAGAAAAATCCTTGTTAAAGTGAAAGTGATTGCTTCCTTAATTGGCTACGCATAATTTAGTCCCAACTTACAGTGCAGTATATAAATACAACAATATGTTATAAAAATTATTAAGTAATACTCAGCATGAGTCATACTAAAGCTCTAAATGAGTCCATTTAAAAATTTTCACTGCAATTTTATCTACATACTGAAATAGTAAATTTAACATTCATTGCCTGGCAATGTCAGCTTAGTTACTTGCACAAACATGACATAAAATAATTCTCAATCTTCTATAGCAAGTACAGTAGAGTTCTGGGTCTACAGCTCTCATTAGTTTAACAATGTATAAGCAACAAATGTTCTACTTATGACATCCCCTAAAATTTTGCCTTATAGTGTACATGTGAAAGTCACTAGAATCCAAAGGGAAAGTAAGAAAATAAACATTGTTCAATGCAAAACAGATTTGGTTGGGGGTTTTCTGTTGGTTGTTTTTTTGGTTTTATTTGTTTTCTCTACTAGAGATCACATTTTGACTGGGTTAGTGGTCTATGTCATCTCAAAAGGTTGTAACACACAAAAAGAACTTGTATACCCTAACTCCTGATTTCTGCTATGATTTCAAATAAAACTTTAAAGTGTACAAGAACAAGATTATAGTAATTCTTAGGTAGGAACACAAAAGTATAGATAGCACTATATTTTCCATATAGAAGCACCCTATGAAACATCAGGATTAAGTTCTCCTATATATTATATGCATTGCCATGCTTTTGTATATTATTGACTCATATTCAATATAAGCCAAGTTCTCAAGCCATTCTTCATCTGCTACTATAGTACACCAAATCACTTAACCAAGGCTGGTCCTAGACTTGACCTATGATGTATGTATTCAAGTTGTGGTTTGCAATTAAAAAAAAAAAAAATACAGGTGAACTATAGAAGTATTCTCATAAGGGTGGAGTACTTTGATGCACCTCAAGATTAAAAAAAAAAAAAAAAAAACAAAAAACAAACAAACCCAAAAGACTAGTAACAGATGCATACACTTGTGATCTAATTGTAAAATAGTGCACCTTAATAATGTCATTTGTTTTCCACCTAGTGTATCCTTTACATTTTGAGATGTCTCTTCCATTGTGACTTTATCTTTTACAAAGAGAAACATCTGGTACATAATTAACTATTAACTCAAAATTAACAACACTGTGAAAGATTTTTCGGAAATATAGATGGCAGTAGCAACAAGTGTACAATATGTACTTTGCATTTACATTACTATTTAGAATTGCTTATAAGAAAATCTAGGATTAGTAAGATCATACTTTGGTCATGCAAATTAACTCTGACAGTTTCACAGCAAAACCATCAGATTGACAGGCAGTGTTCCCAACACACCAACAACACAGCTATTTTCCAGTTTTGCACAGACAAAGCATAAAAATCTAAAGGGGAAATTTAAAGAACTTCATGTGCTCAACCTCAGCTAGTAAGAGAATCAAGACAATGGTAGCAGGAAAACGCTAATTTGAAGTGTCAAGTGAGTATTTGCCACAGTAATCTTTACACATAAACAAACCTAAAGGATGAAAACAAGAATTTTGGTTTTGTCAGTCTTTCAGACCATTAAGATGCTCGTTGATTTTCAGCGAGATTCAGAAAGCAAACATCATCCTTGTTTAACACCTCCACAGTCACTTCCATGCTACAATCACTGTTGTCATTGACTACCACTGATTTAGAGGCAACTTATAAGATGTCTGGTGTAATGCAAACTAAGCCATGTAAACTAATTCACAAACAAATATTTGCTGCTTCAGGAATATGATTTGTTTTCTAGATTAAAGCTCCTTATTTTTCAAAAAATAAAAAGGGGGGTTTAATTATTTAATCCAAATTGTCAAAAAATCCCTCTTAGCCAAATGAAAACCCAAACAGCTTGCTAATCATGACAGTAACAGTAACTGAGTATAAGAGATTGCTTACCGACAGGTTTTTCACACACAAGACCATCTGCCATTGCAGTGCATGGATTTGCTTTCAGACCTGCCACCTCTGCTCTTTCTAGATACGCACAGAAGCCAGAGTCATTTGGCTCTCCAGGAAGCCACTGCAGAGTTGTATTTGTAAAAGGAGACATGTCATCCCATCCCCAGTAGGAGATGTTGATCTTGCGCAAACCTACCCAAGGTGAAATTTTCTATGAATCAGAATGAAACAAATGTGAGATAATTAGTTAAAATATCTTTTTTTGGCATTTTTTTGGTTAAAACATTTCAAAGAATAGCTCAGCAGCAACAACTTCACATATTGAGAAAACTCACCATGTTATTTTCTCACTTTATCCCTTTGTCAGTCATTGTCCATACAGTTTTTATCTTACTGTTCTATCTTGCTGAATTTCCTCACAGACGAAAAAACCAACAACAAACCAAAAAACAAACAAACCAGCAAACCAACATCCACTATACGCTCCTGTTCTACTAAAAATCTGTTGTTTGTTCTGTTCAAAGTCAATTCTGAATACTATTATTTGACAGAGTCAGAAACCAGGCCAAATGGTCGTAATTAAACTGGGATTTTTTTTAATTTTTTTTTTTTTTTACAGTGGCTTCTCTACTTATTACTAATTGCTAGGCCAATGTGGATAATAAAATACATGTAAGTTAACAGTAATTCAAAGAAATCAAAGTTCAGGAAAAAACAGGACAAATATTCCATCCTCCAAAATCTGTACTGCTGATACTGATCAGCACCTTTAGGCAATTCAGAGACAGAGATGAAAGTGGTGCATCCACAACTCCAGTGCCATTAAATGCATATTGAATACACTTTTATTACTGATTTATAAGCTATAAAACAACCTCTAGAAAACATAAAAAGCATTAATCCTCAAAAAATATTTAGGATGGATCAGTAAAATTACATCACACAAATTCTACTCATTGTTACCATTTCTTCTTTATACAATCACACAGAGAAAAGGCAAATTTTGAGGAATAAAGGCCTTTGCCTGTTCCAGGAAAAAATCTACATACATTTCTTGCTCCCATCACCATAAAAATCTCAAGATACTGAAAACAAACACATTTCTCCATGTAATCTGTGCAGGTAGTTTTAATTAACCCCAGTTTAAACATAAGGAACAGAGATATAGAGAGACTATGGGCTGTGACAGGTATGTGGTGGCAGGTGAATACCAGAGAGCCAAACACAATTGCACCAGGCAGAGGACAGAAGTTGCCAGCTCTAAAGCAGACACATTGATCTGATTGTGAATTAGGTGCTTATCTGATTTAATTTACAAGCCAAGGTACATAAAGCACTATAATATACCTAAAGGGAACCTGCCTCAGTTAAAGATCTGTATGGCATTTCACAAGTGAACCAGGAATCGGTGTCATCATCTCTCAGAGAGAACCTTCATCTTTGATCTCATGTCTGTCTTTGACCACTCAAGTTTAATCCATGGCCAAAAGGTCTTTCAGAGCTTTTAAATCTACACGTGATAAGACCATTCCTCTTGCTGCCTCATTAGACCAAACTGAAATATGAAGGGTTAGTAATTTTGCTTCAGAAATACCAGTGGTAATTACTTTTTTTTAAAAAAACAGTATATAGATAATCAGTATTCCTGACCTCCCTAAATGTACTCTCCATGCTCGCTTCTTCTTCTTCTGTCCTATCAATTGGGAGCATGTTCAAACAAAAACTGCTACAGCAACTAGCAGATTTACATATGCAAGAAAAGACTTAAATAAATCAGAAAACAACTAAGAAATGTTCAATTCCCTAAGCAGTGATGCACTCCGGGAGACTCCTGAACAGCAACAAGAATAACCAGCAAAAATGCCACCACCTACTCTTGCATCTTACTTCTGTACTTATTTCATAACTTCATTGCTACCTCAGGTGACCAACTTTCTAGGTGTCTGTGAGAGCTCCCACATTTTGGATACTAGAAAGAACACGATGCAAGCAGTAAGAGTGGAACTTGGGCATCTGGAAAGTGGTAGATAATACATCTGTTGTCTGATTTGTTATTTAGTTGCCTAGATTGCTGTATATTTATGTGGTCCACATACAATCAGAAAACCTTAGATATTTATGCATGTCTCTAGACATCTCTTTGTAGAATGCTAAGCACGCACACTAGGTACATATAAAAAATGTTAGGGGCTTAGGCAGGATAAATTGCTGACAAACATAGACCTAAAACAAACCTAAATACCTACTTTGTGGCTGAAGAAGTCTAGCCAAGAGAACCTTCAACATATTACTGTCTGTTTCAATTGCACTGCCAAACAATTTGGCGTCAGCATCAGTATGTAGAAAATAGAGATCCTATTGCAGCTATGGTGAAAAGCATGTCAGGCCAATAATGAAAACTGACAGCGCAGCACTGACATTTGGAGAGAAATTCTTCTATTTGAGTAGGAGAGTGTCTCAGAACCCCTTTAATGATGACAAAGTCCCAGGGAGGATCACGAAAGCAAGAGCAGGTTTAAGAGATAAAAGCAGCACCCCTGAAATGAAAGAATTCTAACAAAAGCAACATGTATCATAGTCATCATCACTCTTAAAAGCTGTAATATCTGGACAACTTCTAGTCATTGTGTGGGATAGCTCAAATTCCACATGTACCATCTTTGGCTCTTTGCTAGTGTAACATATCAAAATACAGACCTGAATGCTGATTAGAATGCTATCAAATACACATCAAAGCTACCGCCTTGCCAGCTCACTTTTGCTGCTCTGTGTATGTTGTTAGGATGCCAAAAACAGATTATCCAAAGCATTTTTTTAAAATGTCTGATTATATATGGTAAATAGCCGAGAAGTAGGCCACCAAAATGCTCCAAGGACATGCTTAAATTCTATGACGTGGTGGACTGCGGCTGAAGACTGCTGGCAATAGCAGAGATTGTGTGTTGATAGCAGCAAAGCTTATCAGCAAAAATTACTTCTGCTGCACTGCACAAAAGCCAACAGGAAGAAACAAATAGAGAATAGAGAATTCGGGAAGTTCCACCTGTGATACCTGCAGCCACCAGTGTGCTGTGACTAGCAAACTCATTTCTTCACAAAAAAGCATAAATCTAGTCCTTATCTCTCAAACTGATGAAAGGTTCAGTCATAATAGCTGGGAGTCGCAAAGTACTTGAAGCAAGTAAGAGACTTCAAAGGTGCCAAATAAGAATTCCAATCCAGTTTCTTCTTCAGGTTTAAGAAATAATGAGAGTTGAACACTCTTCACTTGAGCTTTACGGTTGTTTCATTTAATGCACAATGAATGTAGGAAACTTATTCCTTTACTTTGAATATCTTGCCAAAGATGCTTCTGAAGAGGATCAGACAGAAAGGAAACCAGACTGACTGTTCTCTGTACCCAGAACTCACTGACGTAAGATTCTAGTTTCCAGGTCTCTTGAAAAACACTCTTATCAAACCAGGTGGGTGAAAAACAGTACAAATCAACTCTTTACTTCAATAAAATACCTCCTCCTTCTTTGTTGACATTACAAAACCTAAAACTATTTCAATTTAAATTATTTACTAGCTAGCAGAATTTAATTGCCATTTTTATTTTAATAAAGTATTTTAGTCAAGCAAAAGAAAATATCTGAACAGTTAGAAAAATTTAGTAATTAAAATAACAGCACTTCATATTTTTATACATTAGCTATCAAAATACTTCTTTATTTTATGTCTTCATTTCCCTAATAATTGAGCCTTATTATTTGCTACTACTGTTATTAAAAAGTAATGGAAAATTTTCTGTTTTACATAGACATGAGACTAATCATTTGCTTTGAATCTTCATCTTAACTTTGAATCTCTTAACCAAGATATCACTTAACCATCTGTATCAAGGAAATGCTCTTCTACTTAAGACATTAAAATTTTTTAACACAACTATCTTTTTAAGTATCATTTTTATCATTACTTTGGACATCAGTGTTTAAACATTATTATGGAATACCAAGGCTCATACTCTGGCTGTTCAAATCACTATCACTCACCATATTCTGAAAAATCATGTATACTTTCAAATGTTTCAGTGGAGAATTTGAAAAAAAAAAATCAGGCTCCAAGGTACATCTATGAAAACTCCTGTTATACATTATATACAATTCATTTTAAAACATCAACAATAACCAAGCTTACTCAATAGCATTCTGGGTAAGTTATCACTTAAAAAAAAAAAAAAAAAATATATATATATATATATATATATCTTGAGAATTATTCCATAGCTTTATCCTACTACACAATTTAAAAATTAGAACCATTCTCTAGAATACATTTCTTCTCTCATTTATTTCCTTCTAGGTCAGATTTTAGAACTCACAGCCATCTTCAAAGCCAGATACTTGGGCTTGAAATGCAGCTAGTCACGGTTTATCTGTTTTTATATAACAATCTTTTATAACACTGATAACAAGTTGCCAAAAACCCTTTTAAGTGAGAAATCAATCCTTATGTTAAGTTACAAAAGATTTAAGAATTATTAAATTCTGAGGCAAATTGCTGGACAGGGTTTTATTTTCATCTGACAGAAGAGCAAAATTGCAATCACACAATGCATACCAATAGAATGTCATTCTGTACTCACATCTACAGTCCAATTTAATTGAACATAAGGCAAGTTTTTAATCATTCAAGGAATTTATTATAAAGTGATCACTAGCAACTCCAAAAATATGCTCTTCTCTTATTCTAAACCACCCAAGTTTAATTTTCTTTTAAGTAGTAATTATGGAACTATGATAGAAAGGAAAATTGTGTAACCTTAACTAGAGAACTGATATTACATATTAAATGTATTAAAAGCCCTGACAGAATTAAACTTGGCCAGG